CTGTGCCAGGCTGCTCCAGCCCCAGTGTCCAGCCTGGCCTTGGGCACTGCCAGGGATCCAGGGGCAGCCCCAGCTGCTCTGGGCACCCTGTGCCAGGGCCTGCCCACCTTCACAGTAAAGATAAATCACATTTGTGTGACTGTGATGTTTAGCAGAATTAGTATTTAATGATTTAAATCAGTATATAATTATTATTTATGGATGTTCCTCTCTTCCCCTTCTGTCCTCAGGGATTTGGAGCACGGCCCTTCAGCAGCCCTTACCTGTCAGCTGCAGCAGAGGAATCAGTGGAAAATTGCTGTGTGATTGAATCCATGGTCACAGAGGAGGGAAATCAGATTGTTTTTACAGACTACAAACATTGCAAGCAGAGCAGTCGAGACTCGGGGAATTATTCCAACGACGACAACGCTTCTGGGAGCAAAGGATCCAAAGAAACACTGGAAAGGGAAATGCTGTAACTTTGGGCACAGGAAATTCCTTTATGGGATTGTCAACTTCACAAACACTTCAGACCTCTTTGTGATGGAAATCCCAGCCTGAGGGGGACACTGGGACCTTTGGGATCCTGAGGGGGACACTGGGACCTTTGGGGTCCTGAGGGGGACACTGGGACCTTTGGGATCCTGAGGGGGACACTGGGACCTTTGGGATCCTATGGGAACACTGTGACCTTTGGCATCCTCAAGGGGACACTGTGACCTTTGGGATCCTGAGGGGGACACTGGGACCTTTTGGGTCCTATGGGAACACTGGGACCTTTGGGGTCCTGAGGGGGACACTGAGACCTTTGGGGTCCTGAGGGGAACACTGGGACCTTTGGGATCCTGAGGGGGACACTGGGACCTTTGGGATTCTGAAGGGGACAGTGTGGCCTTTGGGTTCCTATGGGAACACTGGGACCTTTGGGATCCTGAGGGGGACACTGGGACCTTTGGGTTCCTATGGGAACACTGGGACCTTTGGGGTCCTGAGGGGGACACTGGGACCTTTGGGGTCCTGAGGGGGACACTGGGACCTTTGGGGTCCTCAGGGGGACACTGTGACCTTTGGGATCCTGAGGGGGACACTGGGACCTTTGGGGTCCTGAGGGGGACACTGTGACCTTTGGGGTCCTGAGGGGGACACTGGGACCTTTGGGATTCTGAAGGGGACAGTGTGGCCTTTGGGTTCCTATGGGAACACTGGGACCTTTGGGATCCTGAGGGGGACAGTGTGACCTTTGGGATTGCTGGATTTGGGTTCCCAGGGCTGCCCTTGCTGGGGGAGCTCCTCAGCCCTGGCTGGGAATGACCCCAGTGTCCCCACCCCACCCAGGGCTGTCCCTCTGCACCAGGAGCAGCTTTGGGCACTTCTCTACTTGAAGCTGTGAGCTGAGCAGAGCCTGCCTGCTCCAGCAGAGTTGTGTGGAGTTAATCCCACAGTGTCTGCACAGCCAGAGGAAATCCATGCTGGACACAAACCTGTGGAATTTTCACCTGCTCTTCCAGCCCCTGCTTGGCTCAGCAGGTCCAGAGCTAAAGGGGAGCAAGAGGAGCAGCAGTGAGGAGGCTGGGGTTCCTCACAGGATTCCTCAGGAGGTTCCTCAGAGGATTCCTCAGGAGGTTCCTCACAGGGTTCCTCACGGAGTTCCTTATGGATGTGTCTGGGAATGTTCCCAGTGCTTGTTCCATGTCTCACTCCCCATCCCTGGAATGCCCCAGGCCAGGTTGGACCCTGGGGCTGGGAGCAGCCTGGGACAGGGGAAGGTGTCCCTGCCATGGCAGGGCGGGGTTTGGGATGAGCTTTAAAGTCTCTCCAAACTCATTCTGGGATTAGCAGGACCCTGGTGAAATTTAGGAATGCCTTTAGCAGAGGGCTGAGCTTGGCACTCAGAGCTTTCCCTGTTTTTCCAACAGACTTTTCTTTGGACAAACAATCAGGATGTGCTGCAGCAACATTTCAGTTTCCATATTTTCCATGCTGACTCCACTGTCTTCTGGAGCCATTTTTTCTTAAGTACCTTATTTTTTTATGAAGAAAGTTCTTAGGAGTCAGCTGGGTTTGAGCATCCCATGGACTGCTGTTGTTGTTCTATCTAAGAACTCTTGGTGTTTAAACAACTTTTTTTTTTTATTTTGAAGATACTACCTAATTTTATAAATTTCCTATTCCTGTGTTCATTGAAGAACATAATAAATTTTGCACATTTGCTTCTTATCCCCCTCTTGTTCCTGTGTGGTTTTGGTGTAGTGGCATGGAAGCTGCCCTGTGGAGTTCCATGAGGAGCTGTCCTTCCTGAAAATCCCAGTGTGAAGGATAGAATGGAATGTCCCATATAAATTATACAGAAATGGAATTAATGGCATCATTTGGACAAAAGCTAACTCATGGGAGGGATTTCACTGCCAGATTTTAAGCAGAGCACCCAGTGAATGTTCCTGAAAGAGGCAGGATAATTCACAGGCAACCCCATTTTCCTCTGGAGTGCAGAACCAAATGGATGCTAATGAATGGATATTTATTGTTATTATTATTGTATTTTGTGCTCTAAATGTGCTTACAGAAAACCTTATACCAGCTCTTTCCAGAGGGGCCAGAAGCAGCAAAACCAGGACAGTGAGATGGAAAAACTCCTTGATTCAATGAGTATTTAAATATCTAATATGAATATTTTAATGATAATAACAATTGTTTGTGGGTGTTTTTTTGTTTGGGTTTTTTTTAATCAAATATTTAAACTGGAAAATTAAGTTCCTAAATGCCCAAGTCAGCCTCATTCTGATTTTTCAGATGTATCCAGAAATACTGGGAAAAGGATTTGACCAAGAATTTCACACTTCACAGAGCTCTTCACCTCAGAGTAAAAGGGAATTGTGATTAAATGGATTGTTCATCCCAAGGTATTTCTGAGCAGTGTGGCCCTTGGGGGGGTCCCTTCCCCTTGGTATTCCCAGCAGGATGAGCTCAGAGGCCTTTCCCAGCCTGAACAATTCTGTTACTCTGTGGTTCTCCTCCCTGGATTTATGCTGCAGATGTTGGAATCCTGTCCCAGGAAAGCTGCACTGCTCTGTGTGGACGTTGGAATAGCAGGGAAGTGCCTCGAGGTGGGTCTTAGTGAAACCAGAAACATTTAATCCATGTTAATTTTGGAGGATAAATTCAATATCAGCTCCCAGCCCTGGGGAGGGGAGGGTGGTGGGGCAGGTTTTGTGTCCTGGGATTGAGCTTCTGAGAAACAGCCTCTTCAAGATTTTAACAGTTTAATAAGGGATAAAAGGGACTTCTGCAGCACTGGGAGCTTGGCAGAGGCACCTCAGTTAGTTTAAAATCATTTCCTTCTATAATTTTCAATTGCATTGCTCAGATGGATGTTCATGAAGATTATGGATATTATCCCTTGAGTTTGCAGTTCTGGTTCAGCTCTTGACCCATCTTTGGAAAGTACTGCAGGTGAAATTTATCTGTTTTATGTTCTCACAAGGCCCCTGTTCTGTGCTTTGAGAGTTCTTGGTAACCAAAGGTCAGTGATAAATCCTTCCTTGCATTCTTGTTTGTTTTCTTTGCAATGTTATCTTACACAGACAAGGTTCTGCACAAGTCATGAACTCAACATCAGCCACTTCCCAAATTATCTGAGTTACTCTTTCCCAAATTGTCTGAGTTACTCTTTCCCAGATAATCGAGTTACTCTTTCCCAAATTATCTGAGTTACTCTTTCCCAAATTATCTGAGTTACTCTTTCCCAAATTATCTGAGTTACTCTCACCATGGTCAGTGAGTTACACAAACAAAAACATTTAACATCACAATGCACAACACAGTCTCTATCTGAATATTTTGCCAAAGCCCAAATGTGGAGTTTTTTGGGTTTTTGGGGTTTTTTTTGTTTTGTTTTGTTTTTGTTAGGGTTGGGATTAATTGTATGAGATTATATTTTTGTTTGGATTTAAATATTTATTAGTTTTTATCTATATTATACTTTTATAAACTGTGAGTTTTATAGCACTTTATTTTAATAAACTAAAAATGGAGTTGTATCTCTCTATAAGATCTTTTAAGGAT